CCGCAGGCCTGGGAGGAGGAGGGGGTTTGGCCCCCCACAGCCGTGGCTTGCTGGAGGCGGCCGGGAGAAGCTGCGGGTCCGAGGGACCCCTCCGCCCTCGTCTCTCGAACCTCTGGGCCAGGGGCTGTCTTTCTAAGACAGCAGCCTCTTTTTCATTTTCTGCTCTTTCTGAAAGCAAAATGAGTGATTTAACTTCTTTCTTTTCATCTTACAGGCCCAGTAGATGAGTACATGTTGCCATTTGAAGAAGAAATTGGCCAGCATCCCTCCCTTGAAGACATGCAGGAGGTTGTGGTTCATAAAAAGAAGAGACCTGTTTTAAGAGAGTGCTGGCAAAAACACGCTGTAAGTAGCGCTGCCGCCGGGTTCTGCGGCGTTCTGCCGCGTGCTGAGCTGCAGGGGTGGTTAATCCCGTGCTGTGTTCGGAATGCAGTCCTGTAGGAAGAACTGAATCCTTCTAGGAAGAATTAAATGGACTGTAAATACGTTCTTAATCTTAAAATATTCTCTATCGAGTGATTTGAAAGGGTGATTTTCTTCTTGTTTTTTTTTTTTGGTGAAAGAGGAGATTCTTGAGAGTCACTTCTGAAAGCACATGTTAAAAAAAAAATATATTTAAGAAATAAGAATCTTGAGTTACTACAGGAATGCTCCAAACTGAACGTAGTGCTGTCGGGTGAGCAGTGTCGTCTGCGGAGTTTCTGGGATCAGTTAGGGAGGCATCAAAGGCACGCCTTCCCAGCTGGTTTATGGCCGCAGACTCGCTGCAGCGCTGCTGCACGTTCTGAGCACTGCTTTATTTTTTTAAAAAATGGGTTGTTAGAAACAAGAGACACCACGGCCTGTCCGCAGGAGAAGCGGGTTACCACCCGCTCCCGGGAGTTAGCGTGTTAGCTCGCTGCTACCCCGGAGGGGAGCTGCCTGCTGTCAGGAGTGAAGCCCCTCGCACACAGTTTGGATTTCCCTTGAAGTTCTGCCTGCTCACGGAGGAACTCGCCCTCTTTTCACAGAATCCCAGCATGGTCGGGGTTAGCAGGGACCTCTGTGGGTCCCCCAGCCCAACCCCCTGCCCAAGCAGGGTCACCCACAGCAGGCTGCAC